AGCAACACGGGGCTTGTTGGGACTGACAACAGACGGGACAACCTGGCTGTCACCGCCCCGGGAGCCGCTGGGAGCCTTTGCAGGTGTGTGTGCGGAGCGCCAGCACCCATTTGCGAGCTCTGGATGCAGGATCAGCCGCCTGGGAGGTGGAAAAAACTCCTGCGCTGTTTCTCGCTGGTTTTTCCTCGCTGAAGGCAGTCTGGGAAAGGACAGGGAAACAGCGGGAGATTAATGATTCTCCCGGAGCAGGGGGACGGGCAGAGCAGTAGAGCAGGGCTGGGAGGGCAGGGGCTCTGTTAACCAGGGATAATGCTGGCAGGGAACTCGATTCCTACCCCTTGACATAACAAATGCTGGGGGGGGAAAGGGGGCTTTATAGGCTCTCTGCTACTTCGGCCACTAAAGCAAGGGCTCCAGAGAGAAATTTGGCCCCTCATAACACCAATGGCTTATCTCCCACTGATGAGGCAGGGTTTCACCCTGATGAAAAAGGCTGGCTGGGACACTACTAAATCTAACACCCAGAAGAAAAATTTGCTCTCAAAAGAAGAACTAACATAAATGCATGGCTATATGCAAATTGTAAAGTACTCTTAAAGAAATGCTTTCTCAGACCTGTTTTTTTGGAGGTACCCAGTAACCCTGACCCAGCAAGCCAAAGTGTTTAGTTAGTCCATGGGAACATTGCCAAAAAACAAACAACAGAGGCTTTCCCAGCACAGGGATTTTCTATTCAAAAGCAACAAAGATTTGCCCCACTTCCAAAGGTCAGCTTGCTGACAAGGGTCCTGTCACTTGCTCAGGTCCAGCTGTCTTAAACTACATGACCCAAAAAGGAGATATTAAAAATGACAAGTGACTTTTGACAGGCGGGCCTAAAACGTGCATTTTGCTGAGCAAACCACCCAGATGAACTGGCTGTGGGGCTCCCTGGGCTCCCACCCACTTATGCTGCACTGTGCTTCTACTCCTGGAGCAGCCACTGCCCACAGTCAGCTCTGCTTTCTCTATCAGTGCTCCCAAAGCAAAGGATTAAAGGCTGATGAAAGTCAGCACCTTCTGCTGAAAAATCAGAGATTTCCTTGATAAGGCAGATGTGAAGTCACTGCCATTGACCGTGTGAATGCCATGCAGGGCTGTGGAGAAGCTGGTGTGGCAAAGGAAGGACTTTGTCTTCTAGCCCATGCAGTGATACTAAACAACAGGAGTCATCATTCACTTCCAAGCGGGTGCATATTGACACAACAAAATGAAACAGCTTCTCAGGTTACTCCCCTCACCTCTGAACCACAGCACATTCTTCCCCCTGTGTTGGTTCGATGACATCAGGCTTTGTTTCCTCTTTGCTCCTTTGCTGCCCTTACTCAGCCCCCCCAGTTACTCAGCTACTCCCCAAAAAGGTGTTGGGGCTGGGGGAGCAAAAAGGGTCCCCAAAGCACACTTCATCACCAAAGCAAGCTGCACTAAGCTGGCTGCTCCATCCTGTTAGCCAAGGAGTGAGCAGGGATAAAGCTGTCTCTGCTGCCCTCCCCCCACCCTTCCCGAGTGAGAAGCAGAGAGGAGAGAAGAAGAAAGCATATCCTATTTCATGCCTCTGGCATGTGGAAGTAAGAACATTATTTTATAATAATCCTATTAATGCAGATGAGATGATGATGGCTGGCCATGAGGCACCCATTTGGAGAAGCCCCATCAGTGGGCTCTTTGTTGGTGCAGGCAGCTCTGCCTGGGCAAGCTGAAGGCATCCTTTCTCTGAGCCCTTCACTGCCTGGCTGGTCTTGAGCCCTCTCACTGGGGTCTCCAGATGAACAGCATGGGGTCACTGCAGGGCCACAGGCTCAACATTTGTCTAATACCAACCCCAGCCTGGACTGGAAAACACAAAAGGCAGGATTGTGCAGTTTTCCAAAATGCTAGACTTGTTTTCCTCTGTCTAACAGAAAGCACATCCCCTCTCCCCTTCTTCCATTTAAAGAGTAAAACTTTTGTGGTTTTGCCATTTTTTTCTCTGAGTTTTAAAAATCAACCCCCCTGTTCACAGGTAGCTTTATCTTAGATGGCTTTTTTTCACATCAATGAAAACTGCAAACAAATTGGCCCCCTCCCTTATGGACACATTATTGGCAGCAGGTTTAGGATTTTGAGCTTTTTTTGCAGCAAAAATCAGATTTCATTTGGAATGAAAAATATAAACCAGTTCCCTATGTAAACAGAATATATATATAAGCATACACACAGAGTGAGTGTGTATATGTGTGATAAAGGTAGTAACTTTCTGAGAGCCACACCTGGTGATATATCAAGGCCAATATTTTGGTCACCAGAGAATCTTAGCCATGAAGCTCTCTGTGGCACAAAATCTACTGAAAATAGTAGAAATTGCCTCCTGATTTTCCCTGATTTTTCAGCCAGGGAAAAAAAACCTGTTTTTCCTTCATAACCATCAGGGAAAGCTGCCTAGCAGCCCTAAACACTGTGGAAGAATCTGCAAGGGGAGAGCTGGGGAAGTACAAGACTTTAGACTAAACAGTCTTGTCTTAAGAACTGCATGAAAATGGGAGCCCAGGGGAAGGAAGCAGCATCTCTGCAGGGCCTGCAGTTGTGCCTCATGTGCCAGGGCACCCTCGTGGAGGGAGACGGGAGTAGAAATGAGGGGAAGGCTCTGGAGTGTCTTATCACTTTTCGGGCAGTCACAGCACTGAAATATAAGCATGCTACAAAGAAGAAATGAAACAAATCCAAATCTGTGTCAGGAAATTATTTTGCAGCGCTCCCATTGTGTCTGAACTTATCAAGCAAAGCCTTCATTTCCAACCTGATCCAAAAATCACTGAAGCCAAGCGCAGCCTGTTCACTGCTCCAGGAGACCTTGGAGCAGCCCTTTCTGAACCACGGAGGGAACACATTTTGGAAAGGAAAAGAAACACGTTATGTTAATTGTGCAAACGCATTTTCAGCATCCCTTAGAAATGGGGAATTTTGCCTACAAGCTGACAGAGTATGTAGTTAATAGTTAAAATTCAAAAGAGATTTCATTAAAAATCATTAAGAATCATTCATGCAATAGCAGAGCAGTTTTGTCTTTTTGTTTCCCCTCAAGCATTTTGTGCTGCACAGAACACTTTTGAATTCATTTACTTTTGCAAAATTAATTGCCAGGTCAATTTTCAGTGGGAATAAAAGGTGAGAAATTCAGAAGGGAAAGGTAAATCTGGCAGACAGCAGGGGGCCTTTCCCACTTGAAGAGTTGAAGTTCAGTTCTGATGCAACAGGTAGCTCAGAAAAATACACAAATTAAAGGTATCCTCCACAAAAAGAATGAGACACTGAAATGAGCCAGAGATGAAGGTTATCCCAGAGGTGAACTTGAAGCAACTCTGAACATTTCACAGCATCTCTCCTGCCGTGACTCTTGCCTACAGAGGCCAAGAGCGGTGGCTGCTGGGGTCACAGCCTGGCCTGGCTGCCAGCAGGGCACGGCTCCCCTGGTGCCACACCTCGGGTGTCAGCTGAAGGACAGAAGGACGAGGCTGTGGATCCCGGCAGGAGCAGGAGGTGGCTGTCACGGACCAGCCAGCACAGCCCCAGCTCCGCCAGCACCGGTGCCGTGTTGACATGAAAACAGGGAGACAAGGGGGTAACCACACCTGTCCCAGCTGACCTGCCTTCACCTGCGGCTCAGCCTGCCCTCTGGCTGCCTTGTCCTGACGCATTGTGGAAATATTCACAGCTGGGTGGGAGCAGAGCATTTCCAGTGGAGAGGACAAGTGGGTTCACCCCACAGAAATGCTGGGCAGGGCTAAGCCTATGTGGGTTTTGCTGCTGTACCCTGTTTGTGCCATTCGTGTGGGAAGCCTGCTTGAACTTCCCTGTGGGTTTCAGCCGTGTGGAAGGGAAAAGAGAAAATTGTTAAATGCTCTCCATTCTACAAAGGCTGTTGCCCCACATACCTTGCCCCATGCCTTGTCTAAGATATCTGCAGGCCCCAGACATGTCCCTTCTAACATGAACACCCAAAGCCATGATGACCACTGCAGAAAAGCACCAGCAACCTGCTCTCTGCACAGCTCACCTCTCCAGTGCCTTCCTGCCTGATTTAATGCCTGATGTTTTCTCTAACAAGGACATCATCATGTCAAAGATGGGAGCAAGCACAGCCAACAGCCTGGGGAAGAACAGCAATGTGTGCTGCTCATCAGACCAGGACAACACCACACACACTCCAACAGTGTGGCTTTTCCAGCCAGGATTGCAGAAAAATTCCTGTTCATTTTTCTATCACCCCTCCTGGTCTGCAGACAGAGCTATTGCAGGAATGCTCAGCTTCTGGCTTTGCACATCTCAAGGAGGAGGTGCAATAACCACCAGAGATGAAAGAACAGCCTTTCCAGAATCACTTTGCAGAGGGTGATAGAGGCAGGGAGAGAGCTGTGGTCACGGAGAAAGAACAGCAACAGATCTAAGGCTGCTGTTGTTTGGGATTCCACACAGCTACTCCAAAAAAGCATCACTGTGGAAGTCAAGCCAGTGAACATGCCAAAAAAAAAAAAAAAAAA